AGAGAGAGAGAGAGAAGGAGCGAGCGAGCGAGCGAGAGTGCGAGCGCGAGCGCGAGAGAGAGCGAGAGCAAGAGCGAGAGGGAGAGGGAGAGGGAGAGGGAGAAAGGGAGAAAGGGAGAAAGGGAGAGAGCGAGAGAGAGAGAGAGAGCCCTGGCGAAAGCAAGCGAGCGAGCCGTGATGAGGGGAGCAGGCACCCCCTACTCCATTCGCCCTGCAAATAAGCAAGCAAGCAACAGCAGTGATGAGAGGTATCGTTGATTGTGCGGGTGCGGGGCCGAGAACACAGCCGGCAGACACAGAAACTCCGAAAGGGAGCCACGACAAGGCCGGTATCTTTTTGCAGTTTTAGCTTAAAAGGGGGTCTCGTTGCATTGCAGAACTTATCCTCTCCGGCTTCTCCGTAGCCGTAGTGGGCGCTTGTGCTTGCATGCGGAGGACTAGTCCGACTTCTCCTCTCGTCTGTGTGGAAAAAAAGCGCAGAGAGAGAGAGAGAGAGAGAGAGAGAGAGAGAGCCCGCCAGGACCAGCGGGTGCGCGTCCGCGCGCAAAAGGGTGGGTTTCGTGCCTGCTCTCCCGTCCCGGTAGAGAGAGAGAGAGAGAGAGACGACGGAACTACTCTGAACTGGCTTCGCTTGGAAGGGGGGACATTGCCTTGCAAGTACACGGCCTGTTGCTCCAAGAGGGCCTCGCCCTGCGCTGTCAAAAAGGGGGCTGCGCATAGTTCTTGTCTGAAGCTGCACCCCTCCGCCTGTCCGAGCTGAGACGGGGGAAACATATGTTCGAATAGCATTATCGTGATGTTTGCTGGTCCGGACCTCAGCTTGCAGTTCATGTTTTAGGCCAACTTACTTTCGTGTTTCGTGGCGGTTCTCATAAGCAACTGCGAGTCGACTGACCACTAGGGGGGATGACAGCGGGGATGCCACAGAGTCCACTTTGCAGTCCTATATGTTGCATGGTACCTGCGCATCGTCTACCAAAATTGTTGTACAGTGGGCAACCCCGTGGCAGCAGAAACGTTTGTATAGCCGAGCCTCCTGGGGACGAATCAGCCAGGGGGAATGTCCAAAACCCCGCTGGGACCTGCGGGTGCGCGTCCGCGCGCGGGGGAGTGGGGGTCTCCCTTGCTCCTCCTGTCCCGGTAGAGAGAGAGAGAGAGAGACAGAGACAGAGACAGAGACAGAGACAGAGACAGAGACAGGGATGGAGAGAGAGAGGGACAGCGAATGAGTGAGTCTGTGTGTGCGGGGGGTGCACGGGGTGCACTTTTCACACACCAGCTATTACAGATGGCTGTGTTCGTCGCTGTTTTTTGCAGGCTGACACCACTGCCTTTGCAGCACAGATGAGTGATCAAAATTTTCCTCTCATCATGGCCAACAATCGGCAGGCAGGCTGTTTGTCGCAATGTTTTCTGTACACCAGATTGCTATAGACTGGAGGTGTCAAGGTCCTTGGGCAGTTGTTTCTTCCAGAGGTCTTCCAAGCGCTCCAGTCTTGGATGGAAAGCCAACCGAAGGCCTCGGTGCGAGTAGCCTTTACGATCTACGAGATGAAAAGTGATGTCTGGCAGGTTGATATTGACATCAATGACTCTTCCCTCCCACTCCCTTTGCGAGGGAGCTTCTGTGGGCCAGTGGCATGTTACGGTGCCTAGTCGATGCTTACATGCCTGCATGCGTGACCCGCGGCTTACGAATTCGCGTTTGTGTGCGTGCGTACGCGTGTGTGTGTGTGTGTGTATGTGTGTGTGTCTGTTTGTCTCTCTGCTTCTCGTCTGTCTGTGTGGATGTCCATCAGAGCATGCTGTTTTGCGAGGAAGTGCCTGATGCTGCAGCAGATTCAAAGTGAAACATCGCAATAGAGTTCGCGAAAGACAAAGAACAGTCCAGTCAGAGTGAAAGCCCCTTCTTGCGATGTTTTGTCCATGGCTTATGTGTATATACCAGCGCAAGATGCGAAGCCAAGCTGAATGCGCTGAGCTCTGTGAGGAAAGACTCAAGATCGTTGAAGTACTAGTGCTGTCAAAATGTGCACGGGAACTGCGTGATCTGTGCAAATGACACGAACTGTGACCAATTTTGATGTTGCTGTGAGTCGGGACAGGTGGATACTCACCGTTTTCACCCAGCCTCTCTGCTTTAACGCGGCTGCCCGTCATCCTGGCATGTCTGGGCATGTCTGGGCGAGCACGTCATGGCGCAGCCACCAGGTGTTTGGGACCTGATCGTTTGCGATGGTTTGCAGGCAGAGGGATCGGCATTCGGAAAGCGACGCAAGCAGTCCAGCAAAGCAGTCTGCCCCCGTGATGAGGCTGTCGTCCTGATCGCCTTAGGTGTTGTCAAGCTGTGGAGATCGAGGCAAGAGCTACTGTCGAAAGTATCGTCGAGCGACTTTGCAAGATCTTTGTCTACTTACGAGGCTCCTGCAAGAAGATACAGAAGGCATCCTCGAAATGCTAAGCATGCGAGATGGTGAGCCGCTCGCTGGAGGCAGGACAGCTGTGTAAGTGGCTTAGATTGCCTGTGATCTGTACCACAGTGCTCTTTGCTGCAGCGCATTAGGCGACATTGTCAAGGCAGCGCTGGCCCTTGAAGTGCAAATCGCGTCGGACACCCGGTGCTAGAATCCCTTCAACAAGGCAACTGCGAAACGTCGCCTGCTGCAGGTCGGTAGGACTGAAGGTTCACTCATGGACTCGTGGCGAAGATTAAGTAAGGTTAGTTAGACGATCAATCCTGCATTAGGGTCCAAGCTTTGATCGAGGTTCTTGTTTGTGCCAAACAGGGTTGGAGCTGCTAAGAACGTTGAGTTCCCCGGCTGGGCCTCGACCACGCTGTGACACTTTTCGATGACAAGCGGCCTAGGCTTTCGCCACCAAGTCCTGGCGAGTAAGAGACCTTGCAAGAAGCTGCACCAAACACGCCAAAACTTGGCACGCGATGCATAGAATATAGCTGACCAGCTCGTAGAAGGCTACTCGTCGACCTGCGTGATGTGTTCCGGGTCGGCTTTGCACAGGCAGCTGTCGGGCTGAGGGTTGGAGGCGCTGCAAAGATCAGCACTGACACTCCATGCCACGGCCCTCAGCTTTCTCGTAGGCGGCTGAAGCACCCCAAGCAGAAACTCGGCGAGCCCTTCCCGATGTCACAGCACCTCTCGGGAGATGAGATGCTCGACACGTCTTGAAACATCGTCCTCGTTTGGCGCCTCCCGGAATCGGGGGAACTGACATAGCGGTCGTGCCATAGTTTGAGGACTGGGTCAGAAGCAGGCGAGCCCTGCCAGCCAAGGCCCGGCAGCATCAGCGATGGGACCGGCGTGAGGCGATTCGGTCTTGACGAAGTCTACTTAGGAGCTGGCAGTCTGGAAGAAGAGACTCTTCTCTTACTGTTGGGAAGCCCTTTGGACAGGCCGAGCAAACTCTTTGCCGAGTGGGAGACTGCATGTCCAGCTGAAGTTGAAGACTTCAGGAGGCCTGCACGGGAGATTCGACAGGTCTGCAGTGTTTTTGCGCTTTCCCCTGTTGGGGTCCAGCACTCTCACATCTTGGCAGGGCAGAGGCTGAGATTTGCGCTAGCAAGGATGCTGCTCAGCTCATGTACCTGGCAGCACTCCACAAAGCACTTCCAAGCTGCTGTAGTCTCAGGACTGGTACCAATCAGAGTCTCAAGATTCTGATGCAGTCGTTAGCATCGGCGAGGGTGGCTGGCTGCTGCCTTACCTTGAATCGGTTCTGAATTGGTTGATGTTGCAGCTTCCCAGATGCGAATGCTCAAGGTGCGATGAGGGTGCCGAAAGAGGTGTCACAGGAGCGACGAGGCTGCGGTGCAGAGTTTGTCTTCAGTCACGACGTAGCACCTTTGGAGGTCCGACCAGCGCTGCACGAGCATAGCCCCGGTGTGCTCGGAAATGCAGGCCCAGGCCACTTCCATTTCTCAAGCTGTAAGGGAAAACCGAATTGAGTAGCACTACTTTGCATCATGATAAATCATGTCGCCCAGTGAACTGAAACCAAAAGAAGCCCAGTGAAGTTGAGTTCGTGACTTTTCCCTGCCTCTATCAACAGTTGAAGTGGCTGCTTTGCACTTAGCTGAGACTGCAGTAGTCGCCTTGCAGTCGGATGCAGGGAGACGCTGAGAAGCTGCATACAGTTACAGTATGTTACAGTCATGGAAAAGTTGGTCAGGCCGTGAAGAGCAGCCAGGATATACCAGGATACTCTGGATACTGATATCGGCACACTGGGAACAACATGGAGCTCCTGACGTGGCACACGGTACCTGACATGCACATGTTCAACGGCCAAGACGGCCTCGGCTTCCCACATCATAGCGCACCATCCTTGACATCAACATCCCTTTGTTGATTGAGATGTGGCTCAGACGGATCAGGGTCCGATCTACCGAGCTGACGGACGAGTCGCCGCGATGAGATCAGACTTTGTTGCAGCGAGTTCAACTTCCCGAGTCGGGTATCAATATCACAGACAACTTTCCATTGAACGCAGTTCGGGCTGTCTTCTGAGAGGTTGGCTCTGCTGCCCCGTCGCTCACTGCTGTCTTCAATCCGTTGGCACGTGCAGGGAGTGTGAGTCGCTGGACAGAGCGAATCGTATGCATCTGGAGTTCAATCCTTTGAAGTAATTTCGGCCTCCGAGAATACAGCGATCTTCCAATGCCTGCAGTTTCTGTGCACCATGCCAGGTTCAGAAGGGTTTTGCTGCGCGCCTTGTAAGCAGATCCTTTGCGCAGCTGTGGGCCAGGATCAAGTCTCGCCAGCTGCAAGCGAGTCAGGAGCGATGGGTTGATAAAAGGAACCTTGTTGCAGACTTGGCTCGTTTGCCGATAGCTTCATCCTAGCCTCTATGTGTGGAGGACCACCTGATGCCGAAGGAGGACAGGTTGCCTCAGCCCCTGTGCTCGGTCTTTTGAGCTGAGAGCCTCGCATGCTTGCCAGAAACAACATCAGAGCCGCAGTGGTAGCAGAGGTCTCACACACAATCGCAGCCGAGGCCAAGGTGAATCCTAGCTTTGCTGAACGAGTACTCGAGCTAGCTCTTCCAGAAGATTTGTGTATGGCAGTTGATTTGCAGTCACAGGTCGCCGTGAACCCATCTATGCCTGTGCGAAAGCCATCCAGGCAGGGACGTGATCAGAGAAGGCCTTGGACCCTTAGAGCCGCAGTCTAATCACAGACATCATGCAGGCTTTGCAAGAGGTGTTAACAATTCCAAGTCAAAAGACCGGGCTTCATTTCGACGCACGTTCAGCGTTCTATCAAGGCTTACGCCCGTCTTGGCAAGTTACAGAAGGAGCCTTGTTTCTACAACGCGCCCCATTTAACAGCACACTTACAAAGTAATGCTGGACCAGCGCACGTTATCCCAACTCCCTAGAACTTACGAACAAACCAGACGAGGTGACGGGACAGGAAGCAGGCTAAGCACGGTTTAGGCTCGTTTTCAACATAGTGGCATCAGGTCTACGGCTGGATCGCGAAACGGCGGCAAACGCGCCGAGGGCGATCGAGGCCGAGCACCAGGTGGGCTGTCTCGGAGTGATTCGGAGTGATGCAGAACCAGCCAGCAGATTTTGCGGCCAAATGCCGTGTCTGCTCTGTCTACACGTATGACCTTCATAGCCCGCTGTGTTTCCAGGAAATCCAAAGCGCTCCTCCTCGTTGGGATGTTTGGTTGGACCACTTCAGCCACGTCCCCAGAGTTGCCGGACGATGTCTTGCCACAGCCCACAGCACCAATCTGCACGCGACTACTGCAAACAAAGTAATTCGACATAGACAGTCACAATTTCTTACCCGATCTCGCTTTGCAAAGAGTCACAGATGTCCGGATTTGGCAAAGGCATCCGGCCACAGCTGACCACTGACCTGACATTGACAACACATCCAGAGGTTAAGGTTGTCTGCCATTCCGACTGCAATGAGCTGGCTCAGCACCCATCAACATGCCCATACACCTGCCGACCGACCTACCTACCTGCATACATCAGTGCGGGAGTGTTATCTTTCTGATGAGCTTGATTCCGAGTCGGACACCTAACACACGGAATTCTGTCGCGTTCAATCGCGCAAACAATTGAGGAGAAGTGAGGTCATGAGTAGACGTACCCGGCCGCAGCATCGCTGTCACGCTTTCACCTGCCACCAGAGCTAGCCTGTGCACGATTCGAAAGGATGTTTTTTAATGGGCCATCCCAGCATGTCAACGCAACCAATATCAAGCGCTCCAGCAAAGGACATCCCAAACCAGATCCGGTGCCTGTGTTGCCAGCATTGCCCCGAGTCGGTGCAGCTTTGTACAATTGCCGGCAAACATTTACTCAATGACGGAGTCGACGTCTTATCCCCAGTCGTATATTTGTCCACAAGCTATGTAACAAACGATGTAAATTAGATTCGCTGCAGGTGTATCAGGTGCCATCCCTGGACAGACTTGCTGCCAATACAAAAGTAACCGGTATGTCCGTACGAGAGAAGAGTCCATGACCGTATGCTACACAGCATTACACAGCGGAGCGCTTGTCTACTAGCACCAGTCTCGCGGAGAAACGTCGTTATCCACAACCGATCGTCTTGTCCGCAACTGTGAATTTGCATGCCGTGGAGGCGAAACAGCTGTTGGCATTGCCGACCACACCTCCCTGTCTGCCTCAGGGCAGATGTCGCACTCATCGATATCGTCAGAGAATGGAAACCGATCCGACCCCGGTCCAGCCAATCAGCGACCGACTCCTCAAGGTCTTAAACTGCATTGCAAAAGCCAGCACCAGCAAGCCCAATCATCAGTCAGAGACACCAAATCACCCTCAGCTGCCAGATCAGGTTCTGGGCATGTTTTCCGGCTTGTATAGAACATCTGTGTGATCCTGATTTGTGCTAAGGCCTCCGCAACTGCATTCATCAGCGTAGAACGGCAAAGAAAACCTGCCACCAACACGCAATCCGCCAGTCCACCACATGCGACATAGTTGCGACCGTCCGAAAGGTTACACCACCCAGCTATCGTCGGTCGTATCGGACTCCACCAACCGTGGCAATTGATCTCGGTATTAGGGCTACCAGCCATCCCAACCTTCTGTCAGTCTTCTTCGGAACCCGACATGCATGCATGCATACATAAACACGTCCATGCAGACATACATGCAAATACATGCATATGCATGCAAACATATACATCCCTGCATATACATGCCGACACACATGCAAACATATTCAAATACATACAGACAGAAAGACCTAATTACATAGAGAGGCACAACAAGTACACACATGCAGTCATATACATAAACACATCCACACATGCATGCGCACATACACACGTCTTTACATGCATACATACACATGCACATACATGCATGCACACATGCATACTCACACACAGACATACATACAGGCACGGATACAGACAAAGGCACAGTAAATATGCACCTACCACCTCCTTCCTACCTGCCTGTCTACCTACATATATGCATACATACGCACTTCGCATGAGTTAGTGCCCTGTGTGTTGTGCGGAATGGTGTCGCCGCAGTTTCAAACACATAGTGAGGGCTCCAGCACTTCAAACAAAGTTCTGCCCTGTTGGAATGTTGCTAAACGTGGATTTTGGCAACAGCTTCGACAGACAGTTTTGGAAAGAAGCACGCGACATCACGCGACGCTCCATGCAAGGAATCCTCTGATGTTACAGTGCTGTAGTTTGGCCCTTCGAGTATCAAAAACTACGTTTTCGACTGATTCCCCGGGCCTGGAGTTTTATGGATTTTGTTCAACACTTATCAATACCTTTACCTGTAGATGCATCGTTTGCTCAGTCTAAGTTGAACAATTGAACTCGGAAGCTTGAAAGGGAGCGGCCAAAAGTGGTGAACCTGATCCAGCCAGGATTGATATGAGGCAAATCCCCATGCCCTCAAGCAGAAAGTGCAAGATAACGCCTTGAAGCCCAGAGCCCGAAACTCGAAAGCCTTGGAAAAGCTTGCAACCCGTAACAAATCACTGCATAATGCGCGGGCACCTGGAAGCTTCGCAGATATGCCAAGTTTGCTTTTTCCGGCTTCAAAGTGCGAGGCGTCATGACATAGGAGTTTTGATTTCAGGTGTTGTAGGTTTCAGGTCTCTGTGTTGTAGGTATTGAGGTTTTGGATGTAAATCGACTGCAGGTGTGACTAAGCCTATGCGGCTAAGGCTAAGGCTTTTCTGAACAATCAGACACACAAATTCCGGGTCATCTTCCGGACTCGGCTGGCCATATGACGGGTTCCTACACCCTGCACCGTGTTGATGCTAAGTTTGAATCGCTGTTTTGATTTCTTGGTGGGTTTAGGGTGGCAGACAAGGATGAAGATGTAGACGACGATCAGAACAAGGATGATGATGATGACGATGATAATGATGATGATCTAAATAAACGTGATGTTGATTGTGCTGCTGCAGATGTCGCGGCCAAGCACGTTGCTATCAGTTCAGGCGATCAGTGAAGCCCATCCCCACGCCGAA